TATCTTTATTGGATAATAAACTATATATGAGTTTGATTCTCATACTAAAATTGGTACTTTTATAATATATATACTTAGAGCATCCGCATCGGTGGGTTAATTTTTTCCGTTTAAACGCTTCCCTTTTTGTTAAACCAACGCGGGTTATCTATATCTATCTATATAAAAAAATTACTAACATTTTTTAAAAATAGTAAGTAGAAAAACCAACAAGATTAATTGCATGCCATTTTTTAAAATATTTTGAATTTTTTAAAACAACAAATTGACAATCATTAAATGTAGCCTAAAATTATGGATTTGGAAAACAAAAAAACGTAATTATAGCTTCACAAATTTCACACATGTTTCCAAAATTATATCATTGTGTTATTTGTCTTTTTTTTTTTTTTTTATACATGAGTAATCTATCATTTTATAAAAAGAATAACCTTTTTATAAATTTAGAAACAAGATCATTAATTACATACTAAAAATAACATAATTAAAAAAAAATTAACTAAATGCCCATTTGTTTGGAAATAATCCCTATTTATATGGATTCTTTCAGATATTTTTGGTATATATATAAAAAAAACCGAGATGAGCTATTTGATTTCCGAAATAATCAATAGCAATAATTTGGTAGTTATTAGTAAATATTTAGTGCGAATAATTATATGCATACGTAACTTTTTATTAAAGTTAATGTGAAATCAATAATTGATCTAAATCTATTGATTAAAATTTTTGAAATTTTTCAATCAATTATTTTGTTTCTACTTAATTTATTTTTCTATTCTTTATTTTTTTTTTATTTTTATACCCTTTCATTTCCATTTCATAGAAAAATGGCGCCTATGATTTTTATTGATATGGTATCATAAGATTTTAAGAAATATTGGTTAAATCTACATAGACAATTAACTTAGTCTCCGTTCAATATAAAGTAAATCTCATTTTATTTGTAAAATTGATAAATCTACATAAAGTGTGGAAGTTTATGTCTACAAAAGTTCTTTTCACAGTAACTAAAAAATAATAATATTTTTGAAACTTTTGTACTCAAATTATTTAAAAGAATAATAATAATAATTTAGAAAAATTTTATACTCAAATTACTCAAAAGAATAATAATAATAATAATTTTAAAATCTTCTATACTCAAATTTTACGGTAGTATCGTCATAACTTTCAGCACCATATCAATATTTATTTTATAATATACTAGGTAAATTTTCTTTCAAAAACTTTATAATCTATTTATTTAGGCTTATAATATTTTCTCATGTCATATTCAGAAAACATCTTTCATACAAATGTAAACTTTAATATTTTTAGATATATTTTCTTTACAAAATAGTTTAGAAAAGTTGTGACTTCACATCTTTTAATTATAATATAGAAAATTATAGATAATTTTACATATGTTAATACAATATTTAAGGAGTTTTTAATTGTTTAAATATACAAATTTTATGTTCTCTTGAAGAAGCTAATTTTATATAGTTCATAAAAAATTGATATACCGTAAATTATATTTATTATTTAATATCGTTTACCATCATCTTTAATTTATAATATATTTTCTTGCTCTTTTTAGAGAAGATCAATAGTGGTTCCCCACTTCTTTCATTGAGTGACTTGAACTCAATACTTATTTATAATTATTATTTAATATTGTTTATACGTGCATTGCGCGGGATACGCACTAGTTCATTGAAAGGGGGCCATGTCTTTATTCAATTCATTGAACGCCATTAAACCAACTTTTTTTTTAATAAAATCATATTTCATTTACGCATGTGTAGTGTAGCATGTTTTTGTTTTTTTTTTTTTGTTTTAAAATAATTATTTATTTAATTTGTTTTTATTTTGGTTTTTATAATTTATTTATTTTTTATCTATATCACACTTTCCAATACAGATAAATTCAAATATTATCTATATCACACTTCCCAACATGTATCAATAATTTATATTCTCTATCCCCATGTTTTGTATATAAATACACTTTAGTTTATCACTTTTTTTGCACCAAACAATTTCACACTTCTCTTACACCAGAAAATTTAGCAACTATTCATTTGCCTAAAATTTATTGTTATAATTTAAAAGTATTAAAATTTATTTTTATTGTGGATAGAATATAAAAAATTATATTGAATGGGTGAATAATGTGTCCCACATTTATATTTAAATAAATGCGTATGAATGTGGGTGTGTGTTTAAATGAAGACATATTTGGTGGAAAAATGAGGTGGATGAGAGAGAGTGTAACATTTTGATTGAATGAATGGAAGTTTTGTTAAACCAGGATGCCCTTATTATATAGTATTATTTAGGTTTAAAGCGGATTCAAATCCGACTCGTATTAATTGATAAACAAGTTGAGTTTGGGCTCGTTATATAGTTTATTTAGTTAACCAGTTGAGATAAGATGACTTGTTAATGCTCATTAAAACTCAGAAAACATGTATTTTTGTATAATTTTCTCTAATTAGACTTATTAAGATTTGAGTTGAGCTCGTTAAAACTCAAGCAAAATCCATTGATAAGTAAGATAAATAATTTTCTCTAATTAATATTTTATTAATTAATGTCTTTATTTATTTTGAGACATAAATGTAAGATAAATAAGATATTTAATTAATAAAGTTATTATTTATTGCCCACCAAGTCAGATTTTAGGATAAGGAAATAGATCATATCAAATCTTAAGATAAGGAAGCAGATTGTGCCAAATCATTAATGACCAATCAAATTGATGTCTTCTTCTCCAAGACTCTCTCTTCTACATCTATAAATAGGGTTCTCCTCAATGCCACAAAACACACCTCAAAATATCAAACGCATCTCAAAAATAAAAAATAAAAGTCTCAAATTCAAAAGCTCTTAAAAACTCTCTTGAAGATTTGAAGAAGTTCTTGAAGAATCGCCCGAAGTCCGTTCAATGAAGAAGAAGTCTAAGAAAAAGAAAAAGAGGCGGCGGCTCTTCCCTAAGAAGTAAAGAAACGCCTTCAACTCCTTTTCAAACCAATCCAAGAATATCAACGACGTTCAAGCGACATTCAAGCCGCGTTCGTTGAGAAGTTCAACTAACATAGCGTTGATCCGTGAAAAACTATCAAGCCCTCGAGTCAATGTTATTCAAGTCAAAATCTCTCTTTCAAAAAGATCATTTGTAGACATTGGAATTTTAATATTTTATTAATTAATGTCTTTATTTATATTGGAACATAAATTCAAGATAAATAAAATATTTAATTAATAAAGTTATTATTTCTTGCCCACCAAGTCAAATCTTATGATAAGGAAAGAGATAATCTTAAGATAATGAAAGAGATTATGTGAAAAACATGAATGGTCAATCAAATTGATGTCTTCTTCTCCAAGACTCTCATCTACATATATAAATAGACTCTCTCAATTCCACAAATCACATCTCAAAATAATATCAAACACATCAAAAGTTTTATGTCTTTCATATATTTGTTGTTACAACTACCTTTAGTATTTTAATTAGTTATTTTTTATGTTCATTTTTTATAAATACAAAAACTTAATTAAAATTACTTAATCATATCAAATTTATTTTTTATAATCATTTATATAAATTATTTTATCAAATCAATAATGCCCCATATAATTATTCATATAAATTCCAAACAACATTGTGCGGAACCGCCAAAGTTAACCATTGGTCAAAACAGCTAACACAGTTCACTGGTCAAAACAGCTATCACAATCCGCTACAACTGATTACCAAACAAGGCAAAAAATTCTCTCTGCAAGCCTTATCGAGCCAAGTCGAGCCTGACTTGTTAACGACGAAACGAGCTCGAACTTGACTCGTTTATCGAATGAGTCGAGTCGAGCTGAACTCCAGCCTTAACAAGCCGAGCCAAACTCACGAGCGACTACTTTGTTTAACAACTCTAACACAACATAAAGAATTTTAGGGGATAAGCATAGGGATAAGCATACACTCTAATACTGATTGGAATACCTTGAAACAGGCCACTTTCTATTTTATAATTCAATCTCCCTCAAAGTCAACATCATAAAACTGCAAGACAACAATACCAAGCACCTGAACTAAAACATGAAATTTCAACAGTGAATTACTTCAGAAGATCAGAGTGAACATATAATCATCCAACCCAAGCATCAACAGAAGCTTTTTTTTTTTAATGATTATCATATTTCCTACTTTCAACACTTTCCCCAAAGTCACCCTTCTAGTATAAAATTGCAGAAACATTAAGGACATATAAACATCAAGCCAGATGACACCATTAGTCATCACTCGAAAGCCCACGCGTTCTCCTTGCGAATCTCATCTTCCTCCTCCTTTGTAAAGTCGTTAGTTATGTTCAAATGCACGCGAATCTCCTCAATCGACATGTTCTTGATCATGTCTGCCACAGCTTTGCACGTGATGTCGAGCATCCCTTCGATGTTCAAGTAGTTGGCAGCCTAAAAACGCGAGAGCACTAGTGTTAAACAAAAAAATGACAACAACATTATATTATGTTTTGCTTGTATGAAAGCTTCTTGCAGTGAACACTGAGGACAGACAGCTTTGTCTTGAAACTATCCATGGCATTCCATAAACACTGCAGACAATGTTATTATTATCGTTGCAATCCTTGAATAGAATGAAATTTGTACCACAATTCTACAAGACTCAACAAAAAAAACTCGTACATTCGCACAGACCTACACGATGCGCATTCTTAGAACAGTTAAATATACAAATCCAATGATTAGTTCATAACCCACAACTATCAAAATCGAACAAACACGAATAGAACAGGATTGTTCAACCCAACATCTCACGGCAAAACAACATGAGAGACACGGCGAATCCTATTCGTACAACAAAAAAATCAAAACCTGAGTAAATATTCCATGAAAGACCAAAATAATAAACAACGGAGTTCCCGTCTACATAGGGAAACCAGTAAATGCAACAAAATCCAGAGTCCAAACGCAAAATAATCAAACACGAAAACGAAAAATCAAACCGAGAACACAGAGTTATACCCACCTACTGAGAATAATGCGACAAAATCAATAGCGAAACTACATCGGCCCAAAACTCAAAACAATCAAACCCGCAAACACAGATTGAAACCATGTACAGAGGCAAAGCAATAAATGCAACAAAATCAGGAGGCGAAAAACACACCAACGACAAAATTAAGGGTTTCAAAACTCAAAACAATCGAACAGGCGGAAGATACCTTGATCAGTTCAAGCAGCAGGCCATTGTCGACCTTCACGAACTCGGCGTCGAATTCCTTCAGCTTGTCCTCCGCTTTCTCCTCCACGTGGCGCCGGCAGTAGTCAATCACCTTCGAAAGCACCTCGGACGAGACGTTTGGGAGCGGGATGGCGTTGGTAGAGCAGCCGTCCTCGATCATGTGCTTTATCGTCTGCGACTCGCAGGCGACCGACTCATCCACCTCGAAGATCTCCCCGTCGGAGGTACTCAGCACGATCATCTTAGATTCAGTGGCCGCCATAGATTTTTCTTTTGCCTCAACAAATTTCGGAATCTGTAGAAAATATGAGTCCAGAAAGCGAGGGATTGGGGTGATGAGAGGGGTCGGTTTTTATAGAAGGGACCGAGGACGTGAGGCGGTTCTTGTAGGGGCAGTTTTGGAATTTTTTTCCGGCCGATTTTTCTCCTATTTTTGTACGGAAAGCTTTAGTTGGGTTGAAATAGGAAAACGGGTAAGTGGTAACGTTGATTTAAGTATATATTTTGTTTTTTTTTTTTTTGTGCAAAAAAAAGGTCAAATGACTTAAGCTAAGACTTGATGGAGATACGACACCTCGATATTGTCGTTGTCAAACCAAGACTTGACGGGGATACGACACCCGATGTTGTCGTGGTCAGGCCAAGACACTTGATTTTTATATGACCTATTGCATGATATAAAACTTTCCCTTTTCTAACTGGATTTTTGCTTGATGAGAAAGTGTCCTACTTTTATTAATACAATTTGAATTCGATTCTATTGAAATAGAAACTAATGATGTGCAAGTTTTAGGGTTTGGCAGTTGTATTTTTTTTAATTGTTATTAATACTTTAAAATAAAAATATGTACAATATTTTTTATAAAACGTAAACAAAACTATGACTTTTGATAACATAAACATCTATTTTTGTGACAAATATATAACAACTTGATCCATACAACGATCGAGTCGCATCACACAAGAATTTTCGTGCCAAAATTTATAATATTATCATGAGTCGTCTTTCTTTGTCATTTCAATTTTTAAAGTCAAAACACACTGACAACAAAAATTAGTGCCAAACTATCAAAGATAAACATAGTTCGTTGCAGAAAATATCTGACCGCCATGCATGAACTTGGCATTGAAATCCTTCATGCGCTTGATCGCCTGTGACATGACTGACAAATAAATGAAAAATAATTGTTTAGGGCGCTACAAGAATAATCATTTTTAGTGACGATTATTTTTGTCGTTATGTCGTCAGAAAAAATACCGTCGCTAATAATGTCCTAATATTGTCGCTATATGTTTGAATGACGTCACTATAATACCTCTTATTGTGACGACATAGCGACAAAAATTATCGTCACAACAAATGATTTTTCTTGTAGTGGCGGCTTAACCATTAGGTAGACCCATCAGTTAGATTGTTCCATAACAATAATGTACACTTATGTTATATTCGATCAAATTTTATTTAACAAAAATATATATCTATGCAACGGAATGTCATAGTTTATGGTAATTTCACATGTCCTTATGTTATGATCTCCCAAATTTTATAAGGCTCTTTTATATGTGTACAACACTTTTTAATTTTTTTTTACATAATACGACATTAAAAAAAAAAAAAAAATTATACGTGAATCATTCATAAATAAGTCATAAACTAAAAGGTAATGTAATATAGAAATCAATGACAATATTAAACCTCAATCAAACCGTTCATAAACTGCAAAAATTTGTATATTTGTAGTTAAAAAAAAAATCATAATATACAAATAAAATTGAATTTAAAAGTAAACCGTTCAATTTACTCACCTTGTATACTTGCTTTGTGTTTGACCACGTGATGAGGATTTTATAGTAGGCACAATTAGTGAAGTTGTTATGTGAAAAACGTCACTGAACTTAAAAAAGAAAAAAACGAATAGTCTTTAGCAAGAAGCTAACTGTATAGTGCAATTTAGAAAAAAATTAAACCATTTTTTTAACACTAAAATAATCGAAACGAACTACAAAGAAATGCACGGTTCAGCATGATTTTCGCTTTATTCGTATTTGTACACATTTTATTCAATTTGGTTCGGTTGAATGCAAACTGCACCGAACCTAATAAAACCGAAAGTCGAGCTTATGAGAAAACTATAACCTCAGTGCAGGAAAAAAAAACCGATTCGAATTTAATATACATATATAAAAAAAGATATAAACAAACCGTACTGTGTTTTTTTTTTTGGTACAGGGACATTCCGGTTTCTGGATCCACAGGGAACCGATTAATCCGAAATTGAGTCGGGTAGGACCACAAGGGCGGCAAAGCTCTCCCTCAAGAGTTTTTAACACTGTTGCATTCTCAGGGCTCGAACACGAGATCACTTGTTAAGCTGGAAGTGACCCAAATCATCTCATCCAAGCGCTCTTGGATCTGAATTACACAGTTTGATTCCGGGTTTTGCACACATTTATGCACAACTGATTATTGATGAGAGAGTTTGAGAACAAAGGCATATATACTTGTAAACGGCCCAAATTTTGAAAGGAGATATGGGTAAAGGGCCCATTGTTGAGTTATCATTTGTGGCATCAACGGGCTCTTATATTCGTAAAAAGGACGAGCCCAAATGAATACGTATAAATTCATCCCAATTCCTAAACCTGAGTCAGGTATTTGAAAGCCTTGCGTTCGTGTTTGTGATAGAAGGTTGAATTCCAATTATAATAAATCGTCGTAATTTTTTTTATATTTTATAATAATCTAACGCGATGTTTTCTTTCCATAATTTGATATTAGTGATCTATGATAAATCTATACTTATATAACAAGTCATTCTATTTAATAGGAAGAAAAGTCAAAAACGATTAATGCATTCTATTTCTATCATTTTTTTAATTGTATTATTATTTTATAGCTAAAAAACCGGTCGACATTAATTCCATCCTTAATTGATGTGTTTTGCAATAAAATTGGACAGAGTAAAAGCATGTCTCATTTCAAATTTGAAATTAATTATTAAAATTTCTTATCATTTTGTTAAATTAAAATCATGAATGAATTGTTTGCCATAAAATCGGCCGAAATAATAATTGTATAGAATTCAAGTAAAAACATGTCTCATTTAAAACTTAAATTTTAAAATTCCTTATCATTTTTGAATAATTTGTTTCCCATGACATCGGACGGAATTAATAATTGCATAAAATTCATGTATGATTTTATATCAAGGAATTTTAATAATAGCACATAATTTCAAAATCGTTTATTTATTATAAAAAAAATTAAATTCTGAAAAACCATTTGTGTATATTTTGTAAAATATTTGTACAAAATATTTTACTTAAAATTTATTTAGATAATTTAAATTAATTACATTAATAAATCATTAAATAGTTTAATTACATAAAAAAAAAGACTACATCTATAATGTATAAATAATTATAATGACATATATCACAGTAGATTTTATAATAAAATAATATAAGTATTATACGACGAACAAGATTACGTAAAATTATTTTTTTTCTTATATCAATGAATAAATATATATATAATAAAATCAAATTTATATTATTATAAACATGGAAGCGAGATAATATATTAATTAATTTACGGGTTAGCGCAACCAAACTCAGGTTTAATGTCCCGAAAAAAATGACGTTGAAAAAGAGGTAAAAAAATAGCTGATCAAACTCTATTATTTTTTAGGCCTGAACGAACAAACCCTATGGTCCACTCATTTAATATCTCCCGTGAATCGCACGAGCTACTTAAAAATGACTTATTTAATATTTTTGTCCCGTGTATCGCACGGACTACGTACTAGTTTATATTATATGATTACAAATTTTCGCTCATCTAAAATATACACTTGCATGACACATTAAATAATTATCTCACATATTTCTTTAATGTTGGATTCGACATAAATAATTTCACCGAATTGATCAAATAAACATTTCTATCACATTTAACAATTATCTTACATCTTTTCAGTGTTGCATTCCATATTAATATTCACCTAATTAATTATAATTTTGGCAATAAAAGGTAAAATCAAATATTTCCATTGACTACCACCGGCCTTGATATCTTAAAATTATCACAAACCATTAAAAAAAAGTCCTTTCAATGACCTACAACATCTATAGACTATAGTGGCATCTAGGAGTTACACCCAACTATTATTATTATTATTATTATTATTATTATTATTATTATTATTATTATTATTATTATTATTATTATTATTATTATTATTATTATTATTATTATTATTATGAGTAAAAACCAAATAATGCCAATGCAAAAAGGAGAGATAAAAAAAGTTAGAAAAAAAAAATATCCATAGTTTAAAATAAAATAAAATAAAACAAAATAAAGCCTAAAACTTGTGAAAATATATCCGAGTCATTATTTCCTACATTTATGCAGTTGATAAATCATATAGGTTGGAATATATTTCAATCACCAACTATAGTTGACACAAAAGAATGCAATTAATTTTGATACTTCACATATAAGAATGCATTAAGTTTATGTCAGTTTCAATTGCCAATTGCCCTCTTTGCGTCTGAATTAGTCTTCTGTAATTTGGTGCGTCTTTTGGAATTAGTTGCTATTGCTAGCATATTGCTTTGTCCTCACCTTTTTTTTT